AAAACAGGGCCATTTGTAAAAGAACACAGAGAGCACTGAAGAAAATTGTCAATTCGATATGTTCTAGTGTTTTCTATTTGTGCAATGCAATTTGTCATTATCTTGGTTATACTGTAAATTAGTTTTTTGGAGCAAAAATACATTTCAGTGACAGGGGCTGTAATTTTGTCCTTTGGGTAAAGCTCTGTATCCATTGCCTAAAAGGTGATAATATTAGGTACACTGTCCCTGTAAAACTAGAAATATGTATTTTATGTATTTCTTTCCATACCATTTAAACACTGTAGAAAATGAACACACATTTGACATTACTTATCTGCCTCATAAACATCCCTTAATCTGGCACTGCTACCATCGCCATCAGATATCCAGCCCCCACCTATGATGCTATCATGCCTATAAGATGGCAATATACAGAGTTCATTTATTGGACCAGATATTTAAGAAAAAGACTAACATATTCATGATGATACACTATATTGCCAAAAGTATTTGCTCACCTGCCTTGACTCACATATGAGCTTAAGTGACATCCCGTTCCTAATCCATAGGGTTCAATATGACGTCGGTCCACCCTTTGCAGCTAGAACAGCTTCAACTCTTCTGGGAAGGCTGTCCACAAGGTTTAGGAGTGTGTTTATGGGAATTTTTGACCATTCTTCCAGAAGCGCATTTGTGAGGTCGCACACTGATGTTGGACGAGAAGGCCTGGCTCTCAGTCTCCGCTCTAATTCATCCCAAAGGTGTTCTATCGGGTTGAGGTCAGGACTCTGTGCAGGCCAGTCAAGTTCATCCACACCAGACTCTGTCATCCATGTCTTTATGGACCTTGCTTTGTGCACTGGTGCACAGTCATGTTGGAAGAGGAAGGGGCCAGCTCCAAACTGTTCCCACAAAGTTGGGAGCATGGAATTGTCCAAAATGTCTTGGTAAGCTGAAGCATTCAGAGTTCCTTTCACTGGAACTAAGGGGCCAAGCCCAGCTCCTGAAAAACAACCCCACACCAAAATCCCCCCTCCACCAAACTTTACACTTGGCACAATGCAGTCAGACAAGTACCGTTCTCCTGGCAACCGCCAAACCCAGACCCGTCCATCAGATTGCCAGATGGAGAAGCGCGATTCGTCACTCCAGAGAACGCGTCTCCACTGCTCTAGAGTCCAGTGGCGGCGTGCTTTACACCACCGCATCCGACGCTTTGCATTGCACTTGGTGATGTATGGCTTGGATGCAGCTGCTCGACCATGGAAACCCATTCCATGAAGCTCTCTGCGCACTGTTCTTGAGCTAATCTGAAGGCCACATGAAGTTTGGAGGTCTGTAGTGATTGACTCTGCAGAAAGTTGGCGACCTCTTCGCACTATGCGCGTCAGCATCCGCTGACCCCGCTCCGTCAGTTTACGTGGCCTACCACTTCGTGGCTGAGTTGCTGTCGTTCCCAAACACTTCCATTTTCTTATAATACAGCTGACAGTTGACTGTGGAATATTTAGGAGCGAGGAAATTTCACGACTGGATTTGTTGCACAGGTGGCATCCTATCACAGTTCCACGCTGGAATTCACTGAGCTCCTGAGAGCGACCCATTCTTTCACAAATGTTTGTAAAAACAGTCTGCATACCTAGGTGCTTGAATTTATACACCTGTGGCCATGGAAGTGATTGGAACACCTGATTCCAATAATTTGGATGGGTGAGCAAATACTTTTGGCAATATAGTGTATATTGTGCATCCTTAGTTTGTATAGTCTCTGTGAATAAAATCTACCACCTTTTCCTTATTTACAGATAACGTTAGATACAGATTTTTTTATCTGATGTAACCAATTGCATTTAGAGGTCACCTAATTAGCAAATAGACTAAACCTGTGGCTAATTCAATCAGAGTTAAGCTGCAGCTGTTCTGTGTCTGGCTCTAAAAATATCTGAATGTCCAGATTTTGGACCTTCAGCTTTAGGTGCGTTATAGGTGCAAAATTATCCAAAGCTTTTAACATCTAAGATTTTCAATTTTAATAGACAATTTAAATATTTTCTAAACAGCTACCAGAAGAGGTAGCTTCCTAGAATAATAATGGGGGGTTACCAAGTGCTTAACTTTTTAGGCGAAAGTTGATGTTTGGTCGTTAATTTAATATGAAATGAAGATTAACTCAGAAACCTAGCTTTAAAAGCCTTAAGTTTTTTTTTTCTCTCTCCAAATGTCCTGGAAAATGCATTAACTGTCTTTGAGTGAATGCAAGATTTGCTCTATTCCTATAATACAGGTGCTGGTCATAAAATTAGAATATCATGAAAAAGTAGATTGATTTCAGTAATTCCATTTAAAAAGTGAAACTTGTATATTATATTCATACATTACATACAAACTCATATATTTCAGATGTTTATTTTGTTTAATTTTGATGATTACAAATGACAACAAATGAAAATCTCACATTCATCATATCAGAAAATTAGAATATTACTGAAGACCAATAAAAACAAAGGATTTATAGAAATGTTGGCCAACTGAAAAGTATGAACATGAAAAGTATGAGCATGTACAGCACTCAGTATTTAGTTGGGCCTCCTTTGGCCTGTATTACTGCAGCAATGCGGCGTGGCATGGAGTCGATCAGTCTGTGGCACTGCTCAGGTGTTATGATAGCCCAGGTTGCTCTAATAGTGACTTTTAGCTCTTCTGAATTGTTGGGTCTGGTGTATTGCATCTTCTTCTTCACAATACCCCATAGATTTTCTATGGGGTTAAGGTCAGGAGAGTTTGCTGGCCAATTAAGAACAGGGATACCATGGTCCTTCAACCAGGTACTGGTAGCTTTGGCACTGTGTGCAGGTGCCAAGTCCTGTTGGAAAATGAAATCTGCATCTCCAAAAAGTTGGTCAGCTGCAGGAAGCATGAAGTGCTCTAAAACTTCCTGGTATGTGGCTGCGTTGACCCTGGACCTCAGAAAACACAATGGACCAACACCAGCAGATGACATGGCACCCCAAACCATCACTGACTGTGGAAACTTTACACTGGACTTCAAGCAACGTGGATGAAGTGCCTCTCTTCTTTTCCTCCAGACTCTGGGACCTTGATTTCCAAAGGAAATGCAAAATTTACTTTCATCAGAGAACATGACTTTGGACCACTCACCAGCAGTCCAGTCCTGTTTCTCTTTAGCCCAGGCAAGACGCTTCTGACGCTGTCTGTGGTTCAAGAGTGGCTTGACACAAGGAATGCGACAGCAGAAACCCATGTCTTTCATACGTCTGTGTGTGGTGGTTCTTGAAGCACTCACTCCAGCTGCAGTCCACTCTTTGTGAATCTCCCCCACATTTTTGAATGGGTTTTGTTTCACAATCCTCTCCAGGGTGCGGTTATCTCTCTTGCTTGTACACTTTTTTCGACCACATCTTTTCCTTCCCTTCGCCTCTCTATTAATGTGCTTGGACACTGAGCTCTGTGAACAGCCAGCCTCTTTAGCGATGACCTTTTGTGTCTTGCCCTCCTTGTGCAAGGTGTCGATGGTCGTCTTTTGGACAACTGTCAAGTCAGCAGTCTTCCCCATGATTGTGTAGCCTATAGAACTAGACTGAAAGACCATTTAAAGGCTTTTGCAGGTGGTTTGAGTTAATTAGCTGATTAGAGTGTGGCACCAGGGGCCATCAATTTTGAACCTTTTCACAATATTCTAATTTTCTGATATGATGAATTTGAGATTTTCATTTGTTGTCATTTGTAATCATCAAAATTAAACAAAATAAACATCTGAAATATATGAGTTTGTATGTAATGTATGAATATAATATACAAGTTTCACTTTTTAAATGGAATTACTGAAATCAATCTACTTTTTCATGATATTCTAATTTTATGACCAGCACCTGTATAGTTGGGAGCTGAAAAAACAAAATAAAAATCACAGACTGGGTCATACTTGGTACAGCCCTGCTTTAGGCTCTGCATTCAGCTGCTGTATTTTTGTTACATAACACTGTTCCACTGCAACACAGTACAGGCATTCATCTCAGCCAGTAGGCTTCATGTTTTATCCTCAAGTTCTCAAGAAACATCACTTTCTTCCATGTTCTGTAAAAACCTGCATGTAGAGATTCTGTTTAACAAAACATCTCGTTTTCCTGGCTTCGCTGCTTTGACAATGAAATTAGACAACTTAAATCTGTCATATTTATGTAATTTAATCCAATAAACCACGACAAACTGCATGGAAGGATAAATTAACTGAGGATAAAGCCACAAGAAAAGTCAAAACCAGTTCTGAATGTAGCCATGAAACCTGCAGAGTTGTCATTAAGGGAACAGAGCATCAGGGACACCAGAATAAAATAGTTTTTGGTATTACTTAGCGAAAACAGAATTTTTTTATCTGAGCCCATCTAGTAGAGAAAAGTCAGGCAATCGTCTTTACTGTAAAGCATGATGATGTGAGCATCATGCTGAAGGAGGAATTGGGCAACTAATTAACAGAGCAGGGGTTTTAAAGATATCAAGACAGAATAAGGGTCCTTGAGACACTGGACTTCAATAGCATTGAAGGTCAGATGGCTAAAAAATTTGCTGGAAAATAGCTTTAAAAATTAGAAGTGGGGAGATGCTAATAGGTGCTTCAACCAAGGCAGCAGCTTTGGTTGTAACCATTTACAATTTTGGGTGTAATAAAAAAAAAGAAAAGAAAAATGTGAATGAAAGTTTATCAAGTCATTATGGTTTATTTTTTTTTATATAAAAGGAAAAAAACAAAGAAAAACCAAACAAACAAACAAAAAAAACACCCAAACTGCTTTAAGAGATCTGTAAGAAATGTAAAAAAAAAAAGGTCTAGAACTTCTTCCCGGTGAAGCAGAGTGACAGCAGACCTCTACAGAAAACCAGGTCCCAGGCTAAAAAGTTGGAACCTGAATTTTAGATTTGAAAAGCTCCCTTGAGAAGTTTTAATTGGTCAAATTAAAATGTAGATTAAAAAAAAGTAATTATGTAGCTTATCAGCTCTCCAAACATATCTTACTTTATTTATTTTCCATTTGTTACAGAACATGTCACTTTACAGTTTATTTACATTGGTCCTTTGAACATACTTGGCAAAAGTAAAAAGGCAGACATGAAGACTGAAGGCACAGTTTAGTTTCCAAAAATATTTTACTTTAACTGCAGATTATGGGGCTTAAACTTTTCAGAAAAGCATTCAATGTAAAGGTCAAGAGATAAAGTTAAACATCAGTGCTCTACAACTGAAAATAATATGCAAATATAAGGTAAAGCTTTGAATGACTTTGATTTCAAGACATAGGCCTTCTGCTGGTCACAGGAGCCATAACTTTTTCTGTTTTACTCAGGATACTTTTTTTCTTGCAGTTAAACTATGTGAAGATAAATTTCAAGATGATACTCAAGGCAAAAATTTGCATTCATTTTGTTTTCTCTTAAATAATTTCAACCTGAACTCAAGTTTAGCAGCACTTTGAAATGTTACTCATCTAGACAATGCCAATAAGATCAAGGATACCCAATGCATTCAGGCAAAATAGCAACTCAAATTAAAATTTTGTCTCAAGCCATTATGTTGCTTTATTTCATGTAATCAGAAACTGACATTTCCCTGAAAATCTTAAGTTTAAATCAAATTCTAATGCACTGGAAACTGCATCTTCAGCTCACTGCCCCAACATAAAGTGTCAAAAGAAGTGCTACAGTTTTAATTGCATATTCTGTCTACACAAACAAAAGCTTTGGTCAAGTGACAAATAAGCAAACAAAAGACAAAACATTAATACCTTGTGGAATAATCTGTCGGATACAATCTTGGAAAAAAGTACAGAAAATGTGATTCCGTCAAGAAAGAAAAAGCAAACATTTACAGATGAATCCAAAGGTCCTTAGGCAACAAACTTGTTCTTGGTATTGGAGCCGCTCTTGGTGGCTGTATCTGCATGCGACTGGTAGCCAATGATCACTTTAGGAGGGACGCCTAGCCTTTCCTTGTACACCCGCCTAGAAGCACAAACATTTACTGAAGCCCACTGGGATACTTCTTGCATATTATAAACATTCACATGTGGTTGAATATCAGCAAGGGTTACCCAAGCCTTGATCTAAAAAATAAATCAGCAAAGGAAACACTTATTTAAAAATAATAGTCAAATAACTGTAACATTAACTAAAGGTGTCCAAATCCAGTCAAGGCCCTGAGTCTGGCATGCTTTAGAAGATTCTCTGCTCTTACGTTACTGATTCAAATTGCATAAACATCAAGTTCTTTAAAGGTCTAAAGAAAATCGATCTGTTAGACCAGAGTTTCTCAATTAAGGTCCTGTAGATTTAGGTTATATTCACACTGCAGGCCTTGATGCTCAATTCTGAATTTTTTTTTTTTTTTAATCAGATTTTTTTGCGTTGCTGTTCACATTTCCAAATATATGCAACTTGTATGTAATCTCCGGTATGAGCTGCATTTATACAACGCAAGTGTCCCACATGCAAAGTAGAGGACGCAATGACATCACAAGCAAGCGTGCTCTGTGTTTACGGAAGTGAACATAGATGTAGTGCTTGAGAACATCTAGCGATCTTTCCCAACCTTAAAAACTCAATCTTTCCAAGTTGGTTAAACATAAATACTGCTCTCTGCATTATCGTCCACCATGGTTGTTGTTGTTTTCTTGCCACTTCTGCGTAGCAAGAAGCAGAAGAGTGATCGCTGTCTGGTATTAATGCCGTTATGGTCGAATGAATCTGACCTGGCCGTTCAGACACAGGTCGCATTTGAAAAGATCAGATTCGTATCGGATTCGGGACCACATAGCCAAGCGGCCTGGGTCGCATGGGGGTAGAAAAAACAAAATCTGATCTGTGTTGTTCAGACAGCCATGGAAAGATCAGATACAGGTCGCATATGGGCCAAAAAAAAAAATGATTTGGGTCACTTCAGGCTGCGGTGTGAACGTAGCCTAAAAGGTGCAGCACACCGGCCCTTGAAGTCTGAGCTCCGTTGCAGTGGTTGTTAATTTGGGCCCCTTACCACCGCCAGTCCAGCACGTTACATGTTTCAACATCTGACCTTATCTGTGTAATTGGGAATTATTTAAGATTGAGGCCTTAAATTGAGAATATCACATTTGTAACTTTAATCCCCAGTAATTAGATCATGTATTGGCCCAATGCTTTTTGCAAAGAAACAAAACAGATTTTTTACTGAAGGTTAAGGCATCAGAACCTGATGCCTGCATGAAAAGAGCTCAACAATCAATAACTGCAGCTTGTACAGCTTACCCAATGTGTGTGATGGCCTCTTTGTTTTCAAAGTCTGTTGTCCATATTGCGATTTTATCCCCTTTGGCCCTTACATTAATGACGGCTCCACAGACATCATCACTGTGATCATCAAATGCTTCACCCACAAGACATAAGAGCTGCAATAAGAAACAAATGAAATCATTTGCCACAGACTTGTTATTAGAGAGCAGCTCCTTTTGAAAGCAGGTCAGTATCTGATGTGTGCACAGTCGAAGCACACACACTTTTTCCCCCAGGCTCATCAAAGTTGGGAAGGACACAGCAACAGGATTTTGAACCCAACACAGAAAAAACCTAAACATGGTTTTTATAAAGTGGAACATACCGTCTCCAACCAGAACCGGTCCAGATCATTTTTCCGCTGCTGTTTGGACAGAGTTATCAACCAGCGACCACCTCGTCGGTTCCTTTCATCCTCCCACATGGGTTCAATGCCATCCTTTAGAGAAAAACAAACTCAAAACAGACCAGACATAAAACCAGCATCTTCCACAGATAAAACTCACCAAGTTGGGCCACTTTTAACATATTTGGTTCATTTGTACAAGGCATGTAAAGTTTATCAACTCTCCCTTACATATGGATTTCAACTACAGTCAAGAGTACAATTTATGCTCAGAGTGTTTAATGGTGGAACTTGCCTTGAACAGCGAGTAGTCACACCCAGACATCAGGTTACTGGATAGCTGGATATGGTTATACAATCTGTAAACAGATGGGATGATGTGATAAAATATAAATTATATGAATTTTACTCTCAACAGCTATATGATTCAACATGAGTAAATGTAGATCAAATGAATACATTTGTTCATAACAGTAGTGTGCTCCAAGCATTTATGGTCATTTTGATGATTCCGGTTTACAGCCGATTAAAAAAAAAAAGTTCAGTTTCTGGAAATCAGACCAAAAAAAATAAATCTCTCATTCAACATAAGCATAAATGCACAGTACATTTCCAAACTAATATTTAGGAGGGAAGATAAAAAAAAAAAATAAAAAAAAAAAAAAAGTGCACTGATTGAGTTCAGATTCTTGAATTCTAAAGATTCCAATCATTTGCAACAACAAAGTTTTGTTTGCTTTGATTTTATAATAAATCTGCTGCTCAAACTCCTCTCTACAATCAAGTAGAATATGTGTATATTTAGAAGTCTTGTAAAAGAAAAATAAATAAAAAGGGGGGATGGTGTTTTTTTTTTTTGGAAGCATACATAGCCTAATAAATACAGTCTATTAACCTAAAGTAATAAGCATGGTATGGTTGTTACATGTCAGGTACGCCCTTCATTCACTTTGACCAAGGCACCTTACAGTAGAACTGCAGTCAGTTCCTTGACTAGCATGGCTATAACTGCCCCCACTTAGTTAGGGACAACTGCAGAAGATAGATTTCCAACTGGGATTAGCTTCATAATCATGGTGGGCCACTTCTTTGATTTTATTTATTTTGCTCAGGCAAATCATAAGCCCACCAAATGTTGAAAGGCCAATGTTATTGCCATTACAGTTAATATATAAAAGAAATGTCACAGGGATGGTATGGGGGGGGGGGTCATTTAGGAAGGGGGATGATTTTAAAGATTTGTTTTTAAAAAGGGGGATGTGGTTCCCCCTCATCCCAAGTACTGGGTATATCCCAAAAGGCATCTGTAGAGAAGGTTCAAGGTCACAAACGGAAGTCTTAAGAAAATGGTGTATACAGGACAAATTACATCCTGAAAACAAATATGTAAAGATTCAAATTGCCCGTTTTGAAAAAATAAAAGTCAGCTGCTCCAGCCCCTGTCCCACCATGACGATTTAACAGCGTATGCCTGACATACAAAAATAATCTTGCCAAAACGCTGGCATACGTTCGATATGGTATGGGTACGCTTTGTATATGGTACTCTCATTTAATAGAAGTGCCACTTGGAGTTTTTTTTGTATTGTATACCTATAACAAGACATCATGAAATAATTGTGTCGATTTTAACAGATATTATGGAAATTCTCCTAGTTTCTGAATTTAGGAATGACAATTTAATAAATCAGATAAATATTGATATCGGCCAGGGTATCGTTAAGCATCTCAGAATTCGACACGATTCTTCTGACTATGAATTGATAAGTTGAATTTTTTATTTATTTATTTTTATTAAATACCTGTTGATAGAGTTTAGACGGCAAGACTTGTGAATACATCTTCTGGACTGGAGAGAAAAAGTTACCGGGGAATTTCTGACTGGCCTATTTAAGCTAGGTGAACATTTTAATGTAAAAATATGGTGCTATAAATAACTATACGCATATTGTAGTCTATATGATGATTTTTCTTTAATCTCACATGGCCAACTATTTCAGCAAGAGCAAACCATATATACACTCGCCGGCCACTTTATTAGGTACACCTGTCCAACTGCTCGTAAACACTTAATTTTTAAGCAGCCAATCACATGGCGGCAACTCAGTGCATTTAGGCATGTAGACATAGTCAAGACAATCTCCTGCAGTTCAAACCGAGCATCAGTATGGGGAAGAAAGGTGATTTGAGTGACTTTGAATGTGGTATGATTGTTGGTGCCAGAAGGGCTGGTCTGAGTATTTCAGAAACGGCTGATCTACTGGGATTTTCACACACAACCATCTCTAGGGTTTACAGAGAATGGTCCGAAAAAGAAAAAACATCCAGTGAGCGGCAGTTCTGTGGGCAGAAATGCCTTGTTGATGTCAGAGGAGAATGGCAAGACTGGTTCGAGCTGATAGAAGGACAACAGTGACTCAAATAACCTCCTGTTACAACCAAGGTGGGCAGAAGAGCATCTCTGAACGCACAGTATGTCGAACTTTGAGGCAGATGGGCTACAGCAGCAGAAGACCACACCGGGTGCCACTCCTTTCAGCTAAAACAGGAAACTGAGGCTACAATTTGCACAAGCTCATCGAAATTGGACAATAGAAGATTGGAAAAACGTTGCCTGGTCTGATGAGTCTCGATTTCTGCTGCGACATTCGGATGGTAGGGTCAGAATTTGGCCTCTACAACATGAAAGCCTGGATCCATCCTGCCTTGTATCAACGGTTCAGGCTGGTGGTGGTGGTGTTATGGTGTGGGGAATATTTTCTTGGCACTCTTTGGGCCCCTTGGTACCAATTGAGCATCGTTGCAACGCCACAGCCTACCCGAGTATTGTTGCTGACCATGTACATCCCTTTATGACCACAATGTACCCAACTTCTGATGGCTACTTTCAGCAGGATAATGCGCCATGTCATAAAGCTGGAATCATCTCAGACTGGTTTCTTGAACATGACAATGAGTTCACTGTACTCAAATGGCCTCCACAGTCACCAGATCTAAATCCAATAGAGCATCTTTGGGATGTGGTGGAACGGGAGATTCGCATCATGGATGTGCAGCCGACAAATCTGCGGCAACTGTGTGATGCCATCATGTCAATATGGACCAAACTCCCTGAGGAATGCTTCCAGCACCTTGTTGAATCTTTGCCACGAAGAATTGAGGCAGTTCTGGAGGCTAAAAGGGGGTCCAACCCGTTACTAGCATGGGGTACCTAATAAAGTGGCCGGTGAGTGTAGTTTATAAAATATATAGAAAAGCCACTTGGTTTCTTGCTTTGTAACAAAAAAATTTTTTTAACCTGTTGCATTAAAGAGGAACTGGAAACCTGCTGCAACTGTAAACCTACATTGTTCACTACAAGGAAGTTACTGCAGTAACTTGGTCTTCTGCTGCACCATCCAATTTATCTTTCTCCAACAAACTTATTGGGCTAAAATCCAAAAATGTTTCAAAGTGTTGCTGCACTTTCACGTAGGGCTTTCTCTTCTTTATTTAATTTCAACATTTAGCTCTACGCAGCCCCAAACCTGGGCTTTATGGTAAACCTTCCCTCTCAGTCAACCACATCAGTCTGACTGAAGTAGACAGACTTGCCTACGAGGTCGACAGGACCTCTAGTGTCTGAACTTGGTGAAAAATACAAATAATTCCGAAGGCTTATCTGTCACTGTGTCAACAATGCAGTTTTACATCCACATTGTCTCCCTTTATTCAGTACGATGCATATCACAAAACTCTTGATTATTAGCCCAATGATCAAGGGTGGAATGTCCAGTTAAGGATGTGGTGGATCACCACTGTATTGTGAAAGACTTGAGGGCAATTAAATGATTTATATACATTTACCCGCCTTAAGAAGTCTTCATCTTTGTCATTTTACTTGTTTTTTTGTTTTTTTTCCTTCGCAGTTGCAAATACAATAGATCCATTAATTATCTCAGCTTTTTCCCCCTCGTACTGCATTAATACCTTTTGAAAATGATCCTCTTAGATGTGAACTTTTTCCCCTCCATCCTTTCCCTCACAAGGGATTAATGAAGAAAAATCCCAATTATAATGGCAGGAACAGCTGTTAATTTGATTCAGGTGTGTGGGGAAAGAAACATTTCCCTTTCTTAAAAGATTTTGAGGCTATAGACTGTTTGGATAGCTGGTTTAACTAAGCCAAAGATTGAAGAGCAGTGACTGCAATGGGGGATTGTCTATAAATAAAAAACACTGAGCCCTAAGAGGATCACTCTAAGGCCTTTAAAATACTTGAACTTTTAATCCAGATGTTATTGGCCGCCAATTTTAGCTTTCATCTGATATTGTTTCAAGTTTAATTTTTTTCTCCCAATGAAGCACCAAGACCTTTTCATTAAGCTGTGTAGAATTGTGCTTTTAACAAAGACTTTTATGTTGGCTCTATGATGTAAATATTAACGTCGTCTCTATGAAAACTAAAGGAAAATGAAAGTACAGGTGCTGGTCATAAAATTAGAATATCATGAAAAAGTAGATTGATTTCAGTAATTCCATTTAAAAAGTGAAACTTGTATATTATATTCATACATTACATACAAACTCATATTTCAGATGTTTATTTTGTTTAATTTTGATGATTACAAATGACAACAAATGAAAATCTCAAATTCATCATATCAGAAAATTAGAATATTACTGAAGACCAATAAAAACAAAGGATTTATAGAAATGTTGGCCAACTGAAAAGTATGAACATGAAAAGTATGAGCATGTACAGCACTCAGTATTTAGTTGGGCCTCCTTTGGCCTGTATTACTGCAGCAATGCGGCGTGGCATGGAGTCGATCAGTCTGTGGCACTGCTCAGGTGTTATGATAGCCCAGGTTGCTCTAATAGTGGCTTTTAGCTCTTCTGAATTGTTGGGTCTGGTGTATTGCATCTTCTTCTTCACAATACCCCATAGATTTTCTATGGGGTTAAGGTCAGGAGAGTTTGCTGGCCAATTAAGAACAGGGATACCATGGTCCTTCAACCAGGTACTGGTAGCTTTGGCACTGTGTGCAGGTGCCAAGTCCTGTTGGAAAATGAAATCTGCATCTCCAAAAAGTTGGTCAGCTGCAGGAAGCATGAAGTGCTCTAAAACTTCCTGGTATGTGGCTGCGTTGACCCTGGACCTCAGAAAACACAATGGACCAACACCAGCAGATGACATGGCACCCCAAACCATCACTGACTGTGGAAACTTTACACTGGACTTCAAGCAACGTGGATGAAGTGCCTCTCTTCTTTTCCTCCAGACTCTGGGACCTTGATTTCCAAAGGAAATGCAAAATTTACTTTCATCAGAGAACATGACTTTGGACCACTCACCAGCAGTCCAGTCCTGTTTCTCTTTAGCCCAGGCAAGACGCTTCTGACGCTGTCTGTGGTTCAAGAGTGGCTTGACACAAGGAATGCGACAGCAGAAACCCATGTCTTTCATACGTCTGTGTGTGGTGGTTCTTGAAGCACTCACTCCAGCTGCAGTCCACTCTTTGTGAATCTCCCCCACATTTTTGAATGGGTTTTGTTTCACAATCCTCTCCAGGGTGCGGTTATCTCTCTTGCTTGTACACTTTTTTCGACCACATCTTTTCCTTCCCTTCGCCTCTCTATTAATGTGCTTGGACACTGAGCTCTGTGAACAGCCAGCCTCTTTAGCGATGACCTTTTGTGTCTTGCCCTCCTTGTGCAAGGTGTCGATGGTCGTCTTTTGGACAACTGTCAAGTCAGCAGTCTTCCCCATGATTGTGTAGCCTATAGAACTAGACTGAAAGACCATTTAAAGGCTTTTGCAGGTGGTTTGAGTTAATTAGCTGATTAGAGTGTGGCACCAGGGGCCATCAATTTTGAACCTTTTCACAATATTCTAATTTTCTGATATGATGAATTTGAGATTTTCATTTGTTGTCATTTGTAATCATCAAAATTAAACAAAATAAACATCTGAAATATATGAGTTTGTATGTAATGTATGAATATAATATACAAGTTTCACTTTTTAAATGGAATTACTGAAATCAATCTACTTTTTCATGATATTCTAATTTTATGACCAGCACCTGTAAACAAATACCAAAAACTATTGTGATAAATGTCATTAGTTTAAACCAAAAAAAGTAAAAAATTGAGCAAAAATTAGTCTAAAGCTCTTGGTTCTGTTTAGGGGTTCAGGATGGAGCTTAATGTCCCAGTAAAACATTTTAAATTAAAAATAACTTCTGAGCAACAGGGGGATATTTCTCTATAGCCCAGTAAAGACACTGTTTATGCCTCTGTTTCAAGAGGCTGAACTTGGACTGCAGCATCTCATCCATGCTGTGGGATTTGCCCTTTGGACCTCCTGGGCTTTGCTTCAGAACCCTGTAAAGGTTGCAGCCATTCCTGCTACCTATGTATTTTCTCCACCTCCTCAACCATCTATGAATATGTTTAGATGATGCCCAGTGAACAGCTGGCTTCTATTCTTTATCTTATATTGATACTTTGATTTTTCTGAGTCATTGCATTTGGGGTTTTCAGTAGAAATAAATATGAAATTAAACCTTAAAATGTTTTATTCTATGAAATGAAGCAAGTGTAGTTTTGCTTTACATTTTCAGACAATTTTTTTTTTCATATTATAATTTGCTCAAAATTCTCCAGCAGATTCCATCAAGTAAAGCATGTACATTTTGCTTTAGAAAGTCCATTTATTTCTAACAGGAAGATGCTCAATTTTCCTCTTCAACATCTGAAAATAACTTGCCAAACTAAAAAAAGCACAAATTGATATGTTGATGACCTTGTGATCTAAACTAAGACTTCAGCATTGCTTTCTATAAACCAGTGATTTACTTACGCCCAGAAGTCCTCCACAGTGTCAAACTTAGAAATGAGTCGAAGGTTTGCCTGCCATGTTTTGCTTTTGTCGTTTTTGAAAAACCACAGAGCCCACCTAAAAAAATACAGAAAAGAGAAAATAGGCTTTGACTAAAGCAGGGATGTAGGTGATGTTTTATCTTTTCCCTAGCACAACCCTCCTTAAAAATTGGGATGCAATTTCTACTGTTATGAGCTGCTTGTATCTGAACCATCTGCAGGAAAATGATTACAGCAATATGCATACAAACCGGTTTTATACTCCATCCTTTAAATTAAATGTTAAAGGTACCACGTTATTCTATAAATATATCAGAGCAACCTTTATCCATTTTGGTCATTGAGTTAAGACCAGTAATTCCCAACAGGGGGCAGTCATACCCCTTGTGGTCCATGAGTGCATTGCAAGGGATACATGAAAATATTTCATTTCTTAGCTGCGATCCATTTGTTTTGTAAGGACCCAACTGAAAAATTAAACATGCTTTTACCAATCAAAAAGTAAGTTTTTCTTATATCTTTAAGTTCACCTGCAGCTGTGAAATACATAATAACCAAGCAGAGGAACAGACTGGATGTAGAGAACAGCCTGGTATCAGCTGTTTTTGAGCCATCAGAGCTCTTTAAAGCAGCTCATGTGTCCTGATGACAACAAAGTAAAACTAATTAAGTCAGTCTGACATACATACATACATACATATATATTTATTTATTTATTTTTCCCCAATTCATCAAGTTTAAATGTGATGATATCAGAGTTACTCAGAGAAGCACCAGTTTTATAAACACAGGTTTATTATATTCCATTTTGTATTTATTACAATTCCTAACCAACTTCCAGGCAACATATTTATGTAGTTTTTTTATTTCAGGTGGAAAGAATAAAATGCCTAAGAATTAAATGCTTAAGTTAAAAGATAAAGTAAGATAGTTTTTATTTTATAATCAGTTATTGTACATTCTACTTTTGGACTATCAGCATTACTTTTGACTGAGAGGGGTGCTCATGGTACGAAAAAATGTCCAAAGGGTTACGCAAGTCAAAAAAATGTTGTGACACACTGACCTACAAAACAATACATTTTTAAACATATCTGAAAACAAAAACTTAAAATGCAAAGTTACCTGTTTTGTAAAGGATGTTTGATGTAAACTTCAGGACTTACAACCTTCTGAAGAGATTTTTCATAATTCTTTTCAGAATTTGCAGGGAGGGAGGTTGTCTGTTTTGGAGAAATAAAGTAAATAAAAACATGCTTATATGGATGATATTGTTTGCATCTCTACACACATTTAAAACTTTGAAAATTACATTTTCAATCTTATTCACTTTCCTATCATTACCATGAGAGAACTCAACACTTCTGACTCAGAGCTACATCAGAGTCCTTTTTAGATGTTTTTTTAGGAATACAAGCTGGAAAATATGGAAGAGGATTAGGGCCACTGAAAAAATAAAAAAGTTAACTGATTTTTAAATATCATTTATAATATAATATAATATTCTGACTTTAATCTCAGAATTCTAACTTTTTTTTCTCAGAATTCTGACAGCTAACCAACAGGTTAGTATCAAGCTGTAGCCATGTCTAGAGACTAAACTAACTGCTCTTCCATTAATGAAAGCATCACCAGGGACTCCTGAACGTAAAAAGTCGCCTAATTCCATCATTTTCCACCAATGTGTTACTAGCCTTCCCAAACAACTAACATCTTTGTTAGTGAAGCTGAGTGCTCCCACATCTCTTCTTTCGGGGTGACCTTTAAGATTAAAGGAATAATACACCCAAAACATGATTAGCCTTCATTTTCTACTCAACCCCATGCTGAACAACACTCTGGAGTACTTTTTTGATATCTCAAATGCATCTGGAGATCTGGGAGGTTTCTTGCTGTCTGCTGACATTCAAATAATGGAGGTCTATGGTGCCCGAGACAGAAAGGTCCATAAAAGTCCACAAAAAACGTGTCAATATTCCTCCATACTGCTCGTCCAATGTATTCCAAGTGTCCTGAGTGGGTAGCATCCAGAATTTACTCGAAACGAAGTCATTTAGAATGTTTTTAGAGCATAAACAGTAGTGTATAGGATTTCCTGAAAGCGCGCACATGCGTGTTCACGACGCTACGGAAGCCGGCAGACCACACCAGATGAAAGTGCGCATTCAGCGTCTGCTCTGCCAATAATGCAAGCGTAGAAGAAGAAATGTGCCGTTTACCTGTGCAAAGAAAGAAACAACGAAAGAAAAATGTCTGAGGACTTCAGTGTTGAGGAAGAGCATGAGTTCTTTGCCGAGCTGAATGCGCTGGTTTGGTCTGCCTGCTTCCGTAGCGTCGTGATCGCGCATGTGCGCGCTTTCAGGAAATCCTATACACTACTGTTTATGCTCTAAAAACATTCTAAATGACTTAGTTTCGAGTAAATTCTGGATGCTACCCACTCAGGACACTTGGAATACATTGGACGAGCAGTATGGAGGAATATTGACACGTTTTTTGTGGACTTTTATGGACCTTTCTGCCTCGGTCGCCATAGACCTCCATTATTTGAATGTCAGCAGACAGCAAGAAGCCTCCCAGATCTCCAGATGCATTTGAGATATCAAAAAAGTACTCCAGGGTGTTGTTCAGCATGGGGGTGAGTAGAAAATGAAGGCTAATCATGTTTTGGGTGTACTATTCCTTTAAGATCCAAAATTCTGAGATTAAGGAGGTCGGGATTCTGAGATTAAAGAGGTCGGGATTCTGAGATCAAAGAAGTCAGGATTCTGAGATTTAAGTCAGAATTCTAACATTAATTCAGAATTCTGAGAACAAGAAAGTCAGACTTTTTTCCCCCTGATTAAACTGAAATATTTAAAAATCAGTTGTTGTTTTTTTCCTTTTTTTCCTGTGGGCATAATCCTCTTCCCTAGGGAAATGTCAAAAAGGTAGATGCTCAATTCTTTTTTCTCTCCTCCATGGAAAAACACTTATTACCAGAGAATGTCGCACTCTCACAGGCATCCTCCAACACGTTAAGTTGCAAATAACTTTTTCCTGGTGTCTGGTTGATTCTGTCAGAACTGACCGGAACCGAATTTAAACTCCACACCATCCTGACCAGTAACATGTGACGTGGACTTTAATGTTTCTCTTTAAGTTGTCATTCATTGCCAACAGAACATGAACTCAACTCGTCTTTAGAGTCCGTATAGAAAGTTCTCAGTGAGTTATCCGAATCATATGGGTAAGTGTAAAACATAAAAGTCAAAACAGCTGTGTTCTAACGAACGGTTCTAATAAAACCGTTAACTTATATTTGCTGCGTTAACTTTCTGTTTGCTTAAAGCAAACAGTTTGGAAACATTTTACCAGCTTCTCTTTTTAACGCTCGGGACTGTCTCTAAAATTTCACATAACGTGTTCGGTATCGGATAAACTTGCTCCTCGGTTCGGTTAAAACCCCGCACCGACAGCTTAGTCTAACTGTTAGTAGCGTTCAATGGGACTCACCAATACAGCGGTCGCCATCTTCTGGAATCATTTCCAGCCATTGGGCGTCAGTTAAAATAGCCGCCTGCTGCGCATGCGCAGTCAGATGACCAAATAAGGAACATGTCCACCCAAGGGGGGCGACATGTTTGAAATTAAAATAAAAAGAACTTTTAAATTATTGCTAGATTTCAACATAACAATTTTTTTTAAATGAACACACCTCTTGGTATCACATACAAAGGTTTAGTGTTGGTTTTATGTGTTGCCCAGAACCTTTATACAAGTTGGAAAAACAAATTAATAATTTGAAAAAAAATTATTTTACTTTATAAGTCCAATACCTTTGCTTAGTTTTAGCTCTATATTAAGATTTGCAGTTAGGTTTATGATCCAAAACTTACATTTATGTATGTTTACTTGATTATCATCATAATAGTGTCCTCTATTTTTCTTTTACCTATCTTGAATTTGTTTTATCCAGTTCATCAATAATTTATTATATTTAAATCTCTCATTGAGTTTAGACAACCATCAACCATACATTCTATGGTTTTTGAAATTATTCCCCAAAAAATTTAAATGTGTTATCTACAAAAAGAATCATTTGTTACCTGTCACTAACCTACTGACCAAACACTGAAAATGTGGGGACTCCACATTATGTATGTTGAAGATTTGATTTTTCCATTGACTTTTCACCTCTTTAATTATTCCTCTTAGTAGAAGAGGAATAAACTTCACAAAAAAGAAGTTAAATTTATTTACCACCTTATCATTTTCTACTGAATAACAAAAAGAATATATAAATTCTATTATGCCTGTGTAAATTCTGCCATCTAGATTATAGCAACCACACAACAGGGTTTTTTTTTTTCCCACCAAAACAATTTGTATATTTATGTAACAATTCCAAATTTGCCATTCTTTTCAAATCACAACTGCTCTCTCAAATTTAGCTCTCCAGCTTGTTTTAAATTTTTTTTTTGACACAACTTGTGTTTCATCTATTTAGGTCTAATTGGAATTTTAAACATCTATAGGACTATTTTGTTGTACCAACCCCAAGTTGTCCAGGGTGTTAAAGATTATTTTAAGCAGACGGGAAGATGTGCGGCAAAGTGCTCAAAGCTGGCACTGCATCGAGGGACAATCCTCTGTACGTGGGTAGCACAATTAATCACTGCCCAACCCCATCTGTCACCTTTTGTTTTATATTATCTTTTTTTTTTTTGCCCCGCACCGATATCAGAACATTTTGTGACTAAAACTTGCAAAAATGATAAGCTAAAATCATATCCTTATACTGTATCTTTTAGCAGGCCATTACAGAACTTCCTTATTTTGTCCAAATCAAACATCCTTTATTTAATCAATGGAGTCTTTTATTTTATTTGGCTGCGATGAACTATGAATGTAGGTAAATGATAACTTATAATAGGGTGCCCACTTTAAATATTCTTTCCAATTAAATTTTTGAAAATATGTAGCTTAAATAGGAGTGATTCTGTTTAAGTATCTGTTGTATTTTGTGGCATCCTTGTAGTGACTCTATTGAAAGCTCCACATTACACATTGTTTTCTAGAATATTCTATAGTAGAGCCAGATGGTCAATACATGCAATAATAATCTGAATTTCAACAGTAACAAGAATTTGTTGCAGGTCATTTGTAAAAGCAATTCTTACAATCTGCTCCAGTTCTCACCACATGTTTACCTGCCGTTGGGTAAGACACTTAACTGCACGATGCCCGCCAATCTGTGTCGGGGTGTGAAATGTCATCAAAGTGAAGTCGGAAGCAAGTAGTTATTTTTTATAATAAGGTTTTATTGACAGTATTAATGGTTCAAACAGTTGTTCTAGTGTTAAAGAGCTTCTTTTAAACTCTGGAACCTATATCAAAGGAAGTGCAGAGAAGTGCTGGAACAACAGACTGAGGCTTCTTTAAGGCTGGCTGTGTTGGATGTCTAAGGCACGTCAGAAAGTCAACACGCTTCGGATGCTGTGGTGTAAAAAAAACAAACAGAAAAGGCAAAAGATGTGTCAGGATTTAGACAAAGCTGCAACAACAGAAATGTGTGAAGAAACTATGCAAGCTTTGCAGATGTTTCTGAAATCTAACATTAAAGTTTAATTGTTCAACTCAAGTTGGCATGTTTGACCGTTTCCTACCTCTTCCCAGCATGCATCAGGTCAAAAGCTTCATTGATCTTCTCAAATGGAAGAGTGTGTGTTACAAACTCGTCCACCTTCAGCTTTTTACTCATGTAGTCTTCCACCAATTTAGGAACACTCTCCACGCTCTTCCACCCTGGAGGAAGCACATATTTGATGAGGGTAACTGCAGATCAAAGCACCATTAGCAAAGGTTTGAAAAGAACAGAATTCCCACCTCCGAATGCCGTGCCTCTCCACACTCTGCCCGTCACCAGTTGGAATGGTCTGGTGGAGATCTCTTGTCCTGCTCCAGCCACACCAATGATGACACTTTCACCCCAACCTTTGTGACACGCCTCTAGAGCGGCCCTCTGCAATAGAAACATTTATGTAGCTACTTTAAAACATCTTTATTTCTTACCAGTAGATCATGACCAATGACCCAACAGAACTCACCATGATTTGCACATTTCCAATGCACTCAAACGAGTAGTCCACACCACCATCAGTCATCTCCACCAGAACCTCCTGGATGGGCTTGCTGTGGTCCTTCGGGTTTACAAACTCGGTGGCTCCAAACTCTTTGGCCTTCTCGAACTTGTCGGGGTTGATGTCCACACCGATGATCCTGGTTGCTCCAGCAACCTTGCAGCCCATGATGGCAGCCAAGCCAACAGCTCCAAGTCCAAAAACAGCACAAGTGGAACCAGGCTCAACCTGCCAGACATGGCAAACAGTTCTGAGATCTCAAGGCTTGAAAAGTTATTTTCTAAAGAAATTACTCATTTTAGTCAGTGAAATCTTATGTTCCAGCAAAGATAGATCTCACACTCAGTTATCATGAAGCTTCAAATGCTTCCATCCATCTCTCTTTATCCCTCTGGCTCTTATGCATGACGACCAACAGAAAACATGGGGCTGCATGAGAACCAGACAACCAATTTTTGATAAGTATTCATTTAAAACAAATCAGAGCATGTTAGATTTTAAAATTATTCTTATTTTGATGCAGAATATAAAAGTTTTTAATAACAGTGTTTAGTTATAAAAGGTACTGACATAAATGGCATTTATAGAGAAACATTTCACCCTGATTTTTTTCTGTATTTAATTTTGGTAAATGTTTTGATGTATTGATCAAAACTAGATAACATTTTAAGTTATTTAATATCTGAACTGCTGCCCCACAATTGCATATTTAACATTCCTATTTATAGAAGGTACTAGTGGTGGAACGGTTCACAAAATCCACGGTTCGGTTCGATTCACGGTTTCGTGGTCACGGTTTTCGGTTGGGTTTGATACATGTTGATTGTTAGACCGAAATCCCATAAAAATTTATGAAATTAATAAAAAAAATCCCCCCAAAAATAATGGATTGTAATTATTTTAAATGATCCGCGGAAACCCTGGATCATTTCCGTACGTTTTGCTGCTTTGAATTTAATCATCTCGCGCATGCTCTCTACCATCTCCAAGGGACTCAGAGGAGAGCGGACGGGAGCCACAGTGGGGGCTGTATGCTTTGCTTTGAGCAGCCGGTCTGAAGCGCAGCGGGGCGGAGCGGGGGTAGCATACGGAGTATGAGGGATTTCGGGGTTAGCATGAAGTGTTGGTCATGTTGCTGTTAGCATAAACAAAAGGTGTTGCACAATGCTTGCACACTGTTGCACTTTTATCCACAACTTTCTTTCCGCCGTCATCGTAGGTCACTCTAAATGCAAAGCGCTCCCATAGAGCAGACCTATAAAGTGCTGCTGGCGCGTCTTCCAACTCCAGTTCTTTCCCACTCACCATTCCGACACAATTCTCCACAACAACTGATTTTTTTCCCTGCTACACCCGGCTAAGCTGCTTCGCTTCTTCCTCTTTTTGTTTACTACTGGTGGTTGGCTTTGGTCGCAGTACCGCCACCTTCTGCTCTGGAGTGTAAACGCTTCGCCTATGAGAAAAAGGAGCAGAGCATGAACCGAACGAAACACACGCAAATCGAACCGAGACAGTCTAACCGAACGGTTCGGACGGTTTTCATAAATCGTCCCATCCCTGGAAGGTACCGTTCCCCTGTGCCAAATTCCCTTTATCCTTTAATGTTTTCTACTTATCTAGATTGACAGTTTTTAATATGGCATAAAAATATAACAGATCATGCAGATAGATTTCCAGACCTGCACACAACAATGGAGTTTGTATCCAAGGAAACCCAGCTGCAACAAGGAAGCAATTTTACATAATTCGCTCTTCCTGGAGGAGCATGGAGCAACAGCAGACAGACTCTTGCATTGTGTCATCGAGTTTTCAGTCAGTCCTAATTCCAAGCATGCATGTATGTGGCGACAGTGGAGAGGAAAACTCCCTTTTTAGAGGAAGACACCTCCAGCAGAACCAGGCTCAGTGTAAATGGCCTGTCAATGATATGTGGCCAAAAGACAAGCTAACATTCTAACTATTTGTACAGTTCACTATTAGATATAATTAAAAAAATAAAAATCAGCCACTTACACGGCTCTTTGGGAAGGTAGTAGCAAGGTAAACCCAATGGGACTATTCCACTAGAACTCTTAAGTTCTTTTAACATTAAAGATTTGCTTATTTAAATCATATAATAAATACAAATTTAAGTGGGAGATCTTTTAACAGATCACTGTAATAAAAAATATGTGACTATGATGTTTTTTTTAAGTAAACAATATTTATAAACAATGAGCTTCAAGTTTTCCTTTCTTCCTTATTTAAATTTTATATTTTATAATTTTCCATCTCTGCACTTGTTGGATCAATACATTGGCCAGCCAATACTTTGGGCCTATATGAATGTTTTTTTTCCTAGTAGCATCAGGGGACATATGCATGTGTATTGATTAGCTCAATTAATAGCAATGTCTTCAGATCATGAAGTGAACACATTACAGCTCCCTGCATTTACTATTTATAACTGATTTTTTA